ATGGCTGTTGTTGTGGAGCACAGATTGTGGGAGACTAAAGCTGACCTGACTGGACTTCAAGGCCCCACCAGTGGCACAAGGGATCAAATTCCGCCCTCATGTTTTGAAGCCATTCTCAGTTTTATGCTCGCTGAGCAACCAACACGAGCACTGCTGAGACCAACTGCTGCAGAAAGTCTCATCCAAAGGATTCTGGAGACTAAAAACTGGTGTGCCTCAGCATGCCTTTTAGTAAGTGGGGAGGGACCGTGGCTCAGTGGAAGAGGCTCTGCTTGGCCTCGTCTTGACATCAAAGCCTCGAAGGCCTCCTCTAGTGATACAGATCTGAGGGCTGCCTGGATATTACAAGGCTTTGTGCCTACCTGAAGGAGGACTGAAAACAAGATAAAGAACCTTTATTCTGGTCATAGCAGCGGGGGGGGGGGAAGGCACACGGCCCTTCATTTTACCTTTTAAAACATTCCACTTCTCGCTCCGTCTCATCCATTTCCACACTGTTGAGGTCAACATCTTTGGGCAAAAACACGTCATCTGAAAAAATGACATGGTGCACACAAGATTAAATGCAGACAATACTTTCACCTAGAAGACAAAACGCAGCACCCTCAAGATGAAAGGTGTGCAGCGGGGCATCTGGTTCAACCCCTTGTTCAGTGCAGTAAACCCTGAGCTGGAACACCCATGACTGTCCCCCGCCTCTGTGTGAGGAGCCCCCCCCACACACAACGTATCCTACTGCTGAGTGCGCTCCTCATTGGGCACGTTCAGCTGGCAATTAAGCCACGTAAGGCCTAAAGCAAACATCAAAGATAACTTTTTCCGCTGAATGGAGTGGTTCATTTAAATTTACCATTTTGATCTGATACACAGCCATAAGCATCTTAATATGACCTTAGAAACTTCCTCGTCTAATTAAGTTGCGCTCTTTTGCAATAGGAAACTTTCCGTACTACTGCTGTAATTGGCATACAACCCTTCGACCATAAATCTGCATAAAGAAATAAATATCCTGTCAAGAGATAAACCCAAGCAACATTTATGACGCTAGATGCACTGCAAATCCACTCAGAAATCATTACATGTTCTAACCCCACCCCACCCCCCAAAAAACCCTCGTGCGTTGATGTTCGGTCCTATATCAAAGGAGAGACCACAGACCTTTGTTTCACAAGTTGCAGTCCAACATGTGGTTACCTGGACACCTCAGTGAGTTCAATTAACTTATTCCCATGTGAGCATGCAGACAACTGCAGCGGGTTAGACACAGTGTGTGGGGAGGAGGTAACGAGAGTCAAGCACTTGTGAACCACAATGATTCAATAGAAAACTGAATGTTTTAATTCTCCAGTTGAAGTGAGTGAGAATTAAAGTACACAGTTTTGATCTCACTTAGCTTGACTGTCCAACGAAGTGCCAAACTGGACGATACCGCATCTCCAAGTCCACCGATGGGATGCAGCGCCCTTTTAGGTTTGCTTTGTTCTTTACTTAAAAGTCACAGGGGGCTGATTCTGCTGGGGACTGCCGTCTGGGAGGATGTGAGGGACTCCCCCTGCACTGTTTTCAAAAGCCAAAACGGTGGCATGGGGGAATGGACAGGAGCCACTCATCCACCCCATGCTGCAGTCCCCAACACAATCAGACCCCCCACAACATTTTTTAAAAGTTAAAAAAGGGAAGGGGGGATCTGAAATGGTACTGTGCTCACAAGGTGGACTCAGCGACACAGTATTATCTAGCTTGAACCGAAGAGAAACAGTCTGAGAAGCAAGACTGTCGTTCTGAACCCTATGAGGACACAGCAGGGTACAGGACAGCCTCGCCTGAAGTCTGCCGAATACCCCCTCCCAAAATTCAGTTCACAACTGCTGCACTATGTGTACTGCATCTTGGTAACTCATCCTTCAAAAAGGAAGCCTCTTCATGTCTTCCTTTGGGGCATCCAACGGCCTCTCCTCTCCAGCCAACCACGAGCGCAGCTTCTTCTCCTTTGAGTGACAGCAACCATGCTATGGAGGAAGTGGGCTACTGGGCATCCCAAGATGAGGTATGGAAGGAAAGGCAAAGAGGCGTGACTGGAGGGGTGGGGCTACATCAGAGTGCAAAAAGATGCTGCGGTACAGACTGCACACCCCGTTTTCTGAATATAAATGCCATCACCCAAAGCCATCTGCTCAACATGGGCATTACACAGTAAACCGAAACCTCAGCTTCTTCTCTGGTGTACTCATAGCAAAACAGGGCCTGTAAGACGGAGCTCTTCCACCAGGCTTTTGAATAGGAGCCGCCGCCACCACCAACGGATGACTGCAGAGGAGCACCGCTGGGTTGGGCTGACTGGCCACTTGATCATCATAGCCTACAGCGTCCCCCTCTTTGTCCACAATGTGATGTGCAATAGGGAGCGAGTATGTTAGTCGTGATGGATCCGTGGGAGTTGCCCACTGTGTTTAAAGTGTTTTAACTGTATTTTATTGCACTGTGTGCCTTGTTTTTAACTGTGGTGTTGTATTTCACCTTGTGGCTGTAAGCCGCCCTGAGCCCGCGTGCAGGGAGAGCGGGGTATAAATGAAATGAAATGAAATGAAATAAATAAATAAATAAACTTCACCGAACTTCAAATGTTCACCCTCTAACTGTTGCTTCCTCACACCTTCTGTACCTTCTGCTTAGGGAAAGCAGGATCCATTTCTTTTTTAAAAAGTATATCCTTGTGCATTACCGAAAGGGGACTGGTGCTTATTATGTTGTACAATCTGCCCCCAAAGCTATGGCTTAGTTGATGATATCAGTGCAAAAAAAAACCAGAATCAGAGAGGTGACTAAGAGAAATAAGTAGAATGGTAACGAGATACCTTGCAGGTCTACACTGGGAAGGTCCCGAGGGGATGGCTCCCGGACCACCAGTTTCTGCTGGACGTCGCCTCAGTTCAGCAACTTATTCCCCTGTATGTATTTTGCTCACATTTGCTAGGACAAAGACAACTGCAACCCCACAGAAGGAAATGCTGCTTGGGAGGAGGCAATTTGTAGCGGCAATAGGGAAAGGGTTAAAAGGGACCCTCTACAAATGCACACACAGCACCATTTCATTAAAAGATGGGTGGGGGCTTGGGCTAATTTGCAACTCAGTCCTGAATTAGATAACCAGGGCTATTTTTGGGCAGGAACGCACAGGAACGGAGTTCCGGCTGCCTTCAGAGTTGGCCACGCCTACTACAGCCAAAGCCTCTGCATGTGTGGCTACAGAGGGAAGGCCTGGGGAGTGGCCTAATATGCTAATGAGCTGCAATGTTGGGGTGTGGCCTAATATGTTGATGAGTTTCTGCTGTTGGGTGTGGCCTATTATGCTAATATGTTCCTGCTGGGCTTTTTCTACAAAAAAAGCCCTGTAGATAACCATAATCAGATTCTTCTCTAGTTCAGTATTAATAACTGTCCCAGAATGGCAGAAGACCATTGGCTTAAAACACAAACTTACCAATTGAGGAGTTCCCTTTGTCGCCTTTCTTTTTCTTATTTTTCTTGCTCTTGTACTTTGGTTCAGGAGAAGTTTCCAATATCAGCTTATTATGCTGCTGTTTGTTTGGAGAGAGGGAGCCACTGGACAAAGATGATTTAGCTGCATGATCTGTTTGCTTTGTATTATTAGCATTTACTTTTTTCTCCTCTTTTCTGGAGACCATGATTGATCGAAGGTCTGTTGCTTTCATTTTGTTTTGTGTTTGATTTTTTATTTTAGGCTGAACGTTCGTTCCTTTGGATGGCTTTTTCAGTTCCCGAGCAAACAGCTTGCCTATTTGCGTTATCTGCTGTTTGCTTTGATCTTCCGTGTGATGCTGCATTATATTGAGGAGCAAAGAAAGAGGCTCATGTGATTTCACAGTCATCTCTGTGTTGAAGAGCGGCTTTGAGTCTTTGTTGTTTACTGGGTTAGACAATTCACAGACAGCATCAGAAACTGGCCTCTGTTTGATATTACATGCATCCTTAGATAATGAATCAGGTGAGATTTCCGTATTTTCCAGTAGTTCATTCTGAGTATTTTCTGGGGGTTCACGGTCAGGCATCATCACTACTTGACAGTTTGGAGCCCGTTTTGGGCAGTTTGTGCTGGATCTCTCTCTCTTCTTTTTCTTTACAGCATGAAACTCTTGAGCTTCTTGCAGTCTGTTCTTCAGCTGTGCCTCCTCATCTTCTCGCTCTTGCTCTTCTTGTTGCCGATGAGGCTCCGGCAGACTAGCTCCTGTTTCAAGGTGAGCCTTTTCTTTTAACTGTGAAAACATCATCTTGTTTTTTAAAAAAAAATGGCTACAGGGTACAAAAGTTATTACATAAATAACAGACTGTTTGAGAAAACCAACTCCTTAGCAGTACCCATGCAACAATTACATAAATATGGAACAGATCCATCTGATGAGGCTCCGGCAGACTAGCTTCTGTTTCAAGGTGAGCCTTTTCTTTTATCTGTGAAAACATCATCTTGATTTTAAAAAAAATGGCTACAGGGATCAAAAGTTATTACATAAATAACAGACTGTTTGAGAAAACCAACTCCTTAGCAGTACCCATGTAACAATTACATAAATATGGAACAGATCCATCGCGTTCTTTTCCACTCAAAAAGAATGCAAGAAGAAATAAATTAAATACAGCATTTTATAAAATGTTCTGTTGGGCAACCTTTCTTCTTGTTACTACTCAAAGTACACCGGGGGTGGGGTGGGGGGAACAGCATTTAGTTACCAAAATCCTGGACAGTAGCTTACAAATGACTTGGAACTGAGCACACAACCAATGTTCCCTCTAAGCTGTGGAGTCTTGTGAGCAAAAACTCTACTTTGTGAGCGACTAGCATTTCTGTTGGGCAACCTTTCTTCTTGTTACTACTCAAAGTACACCGGGGGTGGGGTGGGGGAACAGCATTTAGTTACCAATATCCTGGACAGTAGCTTACAAATGACTTAGAACTGAGCACACAACTGGAAGGCAGGAGAAAAAGCAAGCTGGAGGGGCGATATTTAGCCAATGAATCCTTGTGCTATTTGCCTTATTGTCCCTCAAAATTCTAAAGAAAGAGAAAAAAGACCACTCTTACCCTGAGACAGCCAGCATTAGTCCCTATACAGGTATAAAAATTGTCTGACAAAATGACCACTATGTTTGGATAACATTCCTCCAATTTACCTTCTCTCAAATCCAGCTTTCCCCCTGATCCTCAGAGTAATATTTTCTATCCAAAAGTAAGGGAGAAATGTACAGATTCCCATTACACTGAGTTGGTCCTTTTATTCATTATATGGTGACTAATCATATTTTAATTGTTTCTATATTAGAGTGTTTCAACTTATCTTGTGAATGAAAGCAGAGAGTTCTGCAGGGATATAAATATTTTCATGATGATGATGATGATGTGAAGATAAATCTTCAATGTTAACAAAGCAGAGAATTTGTTATTTTCAACAATATACATTTTGCAACTAATATTAGGTTTACAAGGCCAAAACTAGAGATGTGTACTCGGTATAAACTGAGCCGAAAAAATAGCCAATAGATACCTTATCGGTATTTATTATTTTCTCAGCTGATCACTGAGAGGGCTAGTGATTTGGCTATCCAAAAATGGCCACCTCAAAAAATCCAGAAAATATTTGGGATTTTTCGAGGCCACTGGATAGCTGCAGTTATGGGGCATTTAAAGAGCTTTTGGTCCTTTTAAATGCCTTCAGAGTAAACTCCCAGGCATTTAAAGGGGCTGTGCAATCCCTTTAAATGACTTGTTTTTTTCCTCCAGTGGAAACAATGGAGGATGGGGGCACCATCTGGTCCAATCTTTTTGAAACTTGAGGGGGGAGGGTTGAGCAGAGGCACAAGCAGCTATGCTGCAAATATGATGGCTCTACCTCCAAAAACAGGGGGGACCCAGCGCCCCAGATACCCCCGGATTGATTCCCCGAAAATTTTTTGGCAATCCTGAATATTTCCTGAATCCCAATACCATACCAATATTAGGATTTGGAAATATTGGGAAATACTGATATTTTTTGGGGTTCAATACACCCAAACTCAAAAAATACCCCCCTTTTTTGGGTGCACACCCCTAGCCAAAACCAGCCTGTTCTTTCCCTCAGTTCTGGATGATGGTGAAAGTCAGTCTTCAAGATAAACGACCCAAGCCTCTTAGGGACAAATTACATTCAATACCTTCAGTAATCCTTGCAAGACACTATCTAAACTATGGAAAAAACAGATTCAGGTGCGTAGTTCTGTTGGTCTGAAGCTGCAGAACAAAGTCTGAGTCCAGTGGGGGCACCTTAAAGACCAACAAAGTTTTATTTAAGGCACAAGCTTTCATGCTCATGCACATTTCTTCAGATACAATGAAATGGATGGAGGGTAACAACAGGGTCTCAGTTAATTACTTTCAGCATTCCATAATTAAAAAGAGTACATTTACACACCAATCTTCAATTTTGATATATTTATTTCCTTCCCTATGTCTCCTCTCCCCCCCTTAAAATCAAATAAATGAGAACCATATAAATTAAACTAGTTATTCCTGTTTGGTGCTTGAATCTGTTAAACATCTTCATTATGCTGTATGCTAATTTACGGCTCATCCTCTACCTATATGTATGGACTGGTAACTTCCATTTCATTGTATCTGGAGGAGTGTGCGTGCACACGAAAGCTCATGCCCTGAATAAAACTTTGTTGTCTTAAAGGTACCGCTGGACTCAAATCTTGTTCTATGAAAAAAACCAGCCTGCAATAACTAATCCAGGACAAAATCTAGAGATGACTACTGCCTTGCATTCTCTGAGAAGCTAAAGGTATTTTATTTCCTTCATTTATACTCATCTTTTCTCCCCAATGGGGACTCGAAGTGGCTGACATTCCCCCTTCTCCATTTTATCCTTACAACAACCTTGTGAGGTAGATTAGGCTGAGAGTATGTAACTGGCCCAAGTTCACCTACGAAGCTTCCATGGCAGAGGAGAGGGACTTGAACCAAGGTCTCCCAAGCCCTAGTCCAGTGGTGGCGAACGACCATTGGTCACTGTGCCCAAACTGCGACCCTCCTCTGAGAAAAGGAGGACATCTGAATGGGTTATTCCCACCGTGCTATCAGGGAGGCAGGAACTAGTTTTTTCTCCTTCCTGTTGGCGCCTTCGGAATAGCCCCGCCTCAGTTCTGGGACTCCGAAAGCAGTGGATGTAGCCTATGAGAAACTAACCTTGCCCTATAAAAAACATAACTGCAAATATCAACTTTAACAAACAAACTTTCCACTCTGAACTATAAGAGAAATACAGCAGAGTAGATATCGAAAACCACAGAAGAAGAGAAGGCAGCACAGAGGAATTGAGAGACAGGTAAAGATGACAAAGGGAGGGCCCAGATGTCCTCCTTTTCTCAGAGGAGAAGGACCCCTCACGGTAAGTGACCAATGGTCGTTCTCCCTCTGAGACGGAGGATTGGACTGGGGGGCCGGGGGGAGCTCTGCAACTTATCTGGCTGCTTCTTGCTCTGATTGAGGACTGCTGGGAGCAGGGGGTGGGGCTTGTTGCATGTGCCCTGCCCCCTGGGCTCTTTACTGCCGGAGCTCCGCTCCTGTGTGCTCCTGCAGGAAATGACCCCTGCTTAAAATTATTTGGCAGAGAATTCGACACTTTAATGATGGTGTGGGCCTGGCTGGGGCGATGGCACGTGTGCCCAAAGAGAGGGCTCTGAGTGCCACCTCTGGCACCCGTGCCATAGGTTCGCCACCACTGGGCTAGTCCAACCCCCTGTTCAATGCAGGATCAGCCTAGACCATCCCTGACAAGGGTTTGTCCAGCCGCTGCTTAAAGACTGCCAGGGAGGAGGGGGAGCTCACCACCTCCCTAGGCAGCTGGTTCCACTGGTCTTACTGTACAGCTGGTTCCACTGGTCTTACTGCCGGTACCTTCCCGCCCTGAATTTAAACTCATGACTGTGAGTCTAAGTGACAGCCCTTCAAATTCTTAAAGAGAGCAATCATGTCCCCCCTCAATCTCCTTTTCTCCAGACTAAACATTCCCAAGTCCCTCAGCCTTTCCTCATAGGGCTTAGTCTCCA